AAGATTCAAATTAACTAAAACAATGAAGACGAATTAAGAACCTATCTCGATTCATCTTGTAATATAGTTCCCAGCTTTTTTAATTGAAGAGATGTTTGTGTTCATACCAATTGATGACACCAAATGACTAGCATTGACAATTCTTCCCTTATATTATTTAAGGTATGATGCCATTGTATATACTCATGAAAAAAATTTATAAGGACATCCTGAAGCCAAGAAGCTCCTTAACCAATTATCACATCTAAAACCTGTTTGTCATATAAGTAAGGGTACGGAAGGATAATGGGCGTATTTGTTTCACAGATGATGATCTGGTTACCATATTTACTTAGAACTGCGACTGGCATTAATATAAAGTAGTTCAGTCAGTTAAAAGTTTGAAAATCTACTTTTTTAAATCATTTTAATAAGATAGTTAATCCGCATGAAAACCAACGATCTATCATATTTTTATGAGGGAATTCATTTTGTTCTGATGCATATGTTATTAGAAAACAAATGAAAAATACAAGGTAAAGATACTTAAGGACGGAGGAAACATACGATGTTTTATGGTTCCATTAAGGTCAACTGATAGCGGGATCCAACAGCTGAATGTCACGCCTGAGTGCTGCATTTAAATCACCCTCTCAACCAATGGCGCTCGAGAACCTTTTTGTCCCTTGATAACCTACCAGAATACAGGCCACGTTTTAGCGCGAACTGAAAAATTCCAATTGGCCAATCAGAAACGCATCTAGTTAAACATGCTCACGCCCCTTAAAATAACATAAGAGCACATATTTATCCCAGAGTTTCAATGGTAATACACATATGGTCATCTGACATCATCATCTTTGTGAAAAATTGGCAGTTGTATTGCTTTCCTTCAAAAGCTGATCATTAAGATGGTTTAACACATTATGAAATATCAACTTAAAACGCGGTCACTACTACTGCTAACCTCTCCCGTAACTTAAGCGCTGCGAAAATTAACAGGTGCGCAATTATAATGTTTATGCTCCTCGGGTAGAGCATATCTCCCGACAACGAGCTGTGCAAACCGCATCGCGCCCGAATTTTCCCCTATATAACTGAAAAGGTTCGCTTTTCAGGTATCCGCAGGGATAAGGAGGAAGACCTATCGAGCACCGGATCAATTGATTTATTGTCTAGAGCTTTCAAACAATTACAGAAGTCCATTTTTAGAGATGAGAACTAGCAACGAAAAAGAAGGAAGTTATAGTGACCATAGGCCAATCAACAGTCCGAGTCCTGGTTACCCCGTCTCCTCTTCCGGCCGTTTCGTCGTGGGGTCCTTTTCGCTTGCCTTTGCCACTATAATTATTCCCTATTCTCATCTCTGAAGATGGACTCCTGTAAGAGTCCGAAATATCAGGGGAATAAATCAATTGATATGGTGCTATGTACGTCCTCCTCATTATCCATATAATCTAAATGTCGAAAGCTCAGAGTGCATTACAGTTTTCGGAGAATAGTGCCCTAACATATCTTTTCATTAAGCAGAACAGAAGCGGACGTGTTGAGTAATCCAAGTAATTCCAAGGCAGACTGCAAACCACTGGTCATCTTGCAATGAGTACACACATGTTGTGAAGACTATCGAAACACTGAATTGTGCATGGAAGTGGCTGGGATTATTATGGGAAAGTTCATCGCAAATGATAAGTGTAAGTCGTAGCCTCTTTCTTTCCCTCTACCTGTCGCATCCGCCATGAGTTATATATTTTTCATTATTGATCATATCATTTGCTGTGGCCGATATAAGTAAGCTCTGTTGTACTTACAAAAACTGCCATAAATGTGATCGCAAATGTATCCAACTTATACTGCCAAATGAAACGCTTTCAATTAACCAAAGGGTTAACCAGATTGTGGAGCTAAAATAAGTGAAGCAGAAACTACGGGCTGGCAGAAAGTAAGCTGGCTCGCGGTTGTTGTTTTCTAAGGACCAATGTATAAAGCCTCGCAGTCACCGTACCATGGTTTAATTAATTAATTATTAATAGTAATTTGTTCGTTAATACAATCGAACATCCGTGTCCCAGGAAGCAATTGAGAACCATCGAGTCTTCTTCTTCTCAGTAATTTGTTCGTCTGACTGCAAACGCAAGTACATCAGTGGTCCCATCAGGATGAATGTACTTTACTGCCAGATTGCACTAAACAGCTGAAATATGATTGTCCAGCAATACTTTTATTAAATTAAAGGCAGTCTAGGATGCAGTCGGTTATGGGACTCATTAACATTTGATCAAGCATATATATGTGGGCAATTTCAGGTAAATCGTACGATGAGTGTATTACTTATTCGTCTAACGGGTAAAGGAAGTGCTTGTCCTTTCCATAATACGCTAACACGCATATATATATTATTTACTTATGTTACATTTTATTAAGCAAATTTTACTGATTAACGGTAGTTCAAACGCAACATTAGGTATTACTATATTTATAAAAGCGAAGGACATTGAACTGCCTGTATGCTACTCCTCATTCGTTAATGCTCTCCAGTTATCTTTTTAGCCTTGCTTAAAAAATGCCTGCTCATTTTTAGGCGTATCTTCCGTATGCTCTCTTCAGTCGCCAGTGTTGCTTATTTCGTTTAGCTGATATTGTAATGCTGCGACAATTTAAAACGGTCAAGAAATTTGCCGATCGCATTCTTTGTGAGGTCGCGTTTCCTTATATGCCTGATGTAGTGACCGCGAAGGCTATCCGTACTATGTGCCGATATTTTCCGAATGATATCTTGCCATACATCGGCATATCAATACTCCAAATTCCCAGGTGTGTAGAACAGGAAATTCAGACCTGTCTACATATGTAGATTTCATGTAAAGTTTAAGATTTTGAGCATTT